CATCTGGCAAAAATGAGAAGGCAAGTAAGCTGTTCTGTAACTATAATATACAGAATTAAAAATGAGGGCAATTTTCCATGCAGAACCTGTTTTCCTTCCCTTTCATGTACGAAAGCTTGTTGCACAGAATTTTTAAAAATCCTTACATGCCCTTTTAAGTGCTACTGAACCCAAGCCTAATTTGTTTCATACTGCTTTACTCCCTCTTGTTGATTCACTTTCCATAAATTTGTTAACACTCACCTCCTGCAGGTGATGAGGGAACTGTATAAAGTGACTAATAGAAGCCAGGTGCTGACAATACTGAGGGTAGTCCTTCAATCTGTCAATAAAATTAGCTATTAATAGTAGGAAATAAACAGTCTGATCTACAACTATTAGCAAAATATAGAAACGGTTAATCTTTGCAAAAACAGCCCTGCCATTGCCCCATCAATGTTTTCCTTCTGAGCAGCAACTAAAAGTAACCCCTGAGAGGGCAGGTCAAGGGGGGAAGTGACAAAAGCAGTATTGTGGCATTGCAACAAAGGTCTTCTCCTTTGGTATAAGTACCCTGATGTCATATACGTAAAGCAGTGTTTCCCAAACTTGACAATTTTAAGGCATGAGGACTTCAACTCCCAGAATTCCACAGCCAGCAATGCTGGCTGTGGAATTCTGGGAGTTGAAGTCCACATGCCTTAAAATTGTCAAGTTTGGGAAACACTGACGTAAAGCAACATGATGGTACAATGATCCAATGCTGCTCTGATCACTTCAATGAAAGCATCTGATTCTGCAGACACCTTTGCCAACAATTATTTTAAAAAGACTGGGCTAACAATTGTGACTACATGTTGCTAAGGAATAATCTACTGCAAACAAGCCAATTTATCAGGCAAAAGGTATATATTATAGCAAGGAAAATACAGCCACAGTAATAGGTTTGTCATGTGTAACTGGAGTCTTCAGCAAAGACCAACTCTGCAGAGATCAACATTCCTGAAAGAAATTAACAAAGAATTAGGAGACACCCACCTATTTTTAAATCTATCTAATGCAGCAATTCCAAAATAGTACATTTTAGATGTAAAAGGCTTTCGTAAGGCTTCAAGCACGTAGCGCAGGGCCAGGCCCAGGGCCATATAGGTCACCAATCCCTTCTCGATTATCCCTCCAAAGAGGCAGGCTGTTATGTGGAGCTCTTTATCGGGATATTGCGGGAAAAAACGATATTCTTCAAATAAATTCCTCAGCATACAGTTAAATACTTCTCGCTCCCGTTTAATGTTAGAGTCCTTAAATCTCTGTAGCATTTCTAACACCTGCAAGGAAATCAGAATGTTATAAAGAAAATTCAGTTGTGCAGAGCCCTACATAAACTATAAAGTTTTTTGAGTAATCCAGTCAAAGTTTGGCTAGAGCTCTCTGTAAACAAGGTGGTAAATATAACTTTCATTTGTTAAGTTAGTTATCACAACTATTTTAAACTATTTTAAAACTATTATTGCAATTTTTTTAAAGTAAGAAAAGGTCAAGCCTGCCACAAGTTGACCTTGACTCCTGGTGAGTTCATGGAATATTCAGTTAAAATTCAGATCTGACCATCTGTTCTTTCAAGGCAGCCCAGCTCAGTGGCCACCTGTTGTGATAAATTACAGTTATGTTTCTTAATACTGATAAAGCACAAAACTAGTGTATTTTAAAGGGACTGTAAAATGATTCAGTTCATACAAGCCATCCTGACATTTAAAGATGGAAAAATTCTGCCTTAAGTGAGGCATGCGAAGGAAAAAATATTGTCCCGGACAAGAATTTCTCCTTAAAATTGGGTTCAGTTAAAGCCTGAATCGTTTTCAAAAATACCAGTGCAGATTTACTTACCAGACCCTCTTATTATATGGCATATAATAAGTCATATTTAACAAAATACATCAACAATGAGATTTACTAATAATGTTTAAAATATAGGCAGTCCTCATTCACCATCTGCAATTTGGATCTGCAACTCTGTTGGTAAGCGGTACTGTCATTAAACACAAATCAAGTGACCTCATTAATTTATGACATCAGTGCTGGCTTGGTGAATAACCACTGGTTGGTAAGAGGGATGTGATGTGAAATGAACACTTGTGACTTTCTGCCGGCTTCCCCATGGAATTTGCTTATAGTCAGCTTTGAAGGTCACAAATGGTGACCACATGACTGCAGGACGCTGCAACCATCGTAAATGAATATAGGTTGCCAGGTGCCCAAATTGTGATTGCATGACTGTGAAGACAATACCCAACAGAAAGTACCATTATCAGCACCTGCTATACCAAGAGTTTGATAATACTTGAAATAAAAGCATTTGCTCTCCAAACTCACCTCATCTACAGACATGGTGGGATGGGGTGGGTGATTATAAATACGCTGAAAATAGCTGTTGGCTTCATCATCAATCTCTTTGCTAAAGTGCTGATTAGCCTCTGGCCATACCTGAGATAAGTCAGCTGTTGGAAAAAGGCACATACTCATTAAGAATATGAAATGCTGGAAAATGCATTTCTTTCATGGCACCAAGTTAACAGAAGCCACCCTACAGTGTTTCAACTGCCTCTACGAGTCAGGGAAGTCATTGGGACCCAGCACACTGACTGGCAGAGGCTGAAAGGTGGTCATCCGATTCAAAAAGCCAACGTCTCCCAGATGCTCAAGATGCTCTAAGTCAGAGAAGAGATTTGGGCAGAGGGTAAGAGCACAATGAAACAACCTTGGTAGGAAATATAAAGTAATTAATAGTTAATAGTTATGGGGGAGTTAAGTGCCCACAACAGTTCTTGCAGATGTTCATTACCCAAACTAGTCACCTCATCAGTGCTAGGTCATCATCATCATCATCATCATCATTTTAGCACTGATGATGTGATCTAGTTTGGGTAATGGAATGTCTGCAAGAAAACAACCAAGCACAGAGCACAAAAGACAGAGACATTTGTAACAAAGTACTCTGGATTTAACAGAACAAAAATTGAACTCTTCAGCCACAGCCAACATCTTCACTTACAAGGTTTCACCTTACTCTGCTGGAATGTGGGCTGGTTCAGTCCTGATGTGTTCAGCTTTCTTGGCACAAATGGATCATTATTCACTGCAGGGAGGCCAAGGGTTCCAGTTCCGATACCCAGACTACCTGTTGTGAGACCACCTACTGAAAAAAACAAAATAATTATCTCTGACTTTAGAACAGTATAGTTATCCTTACCTTGAAAAGGCTAACCATTGATTATTTATATTTCATATTTTTAACCGCCCAGCCCCAGCCCCAAGAGGCTTGGTGGCACAGTGGTTAGATTGCAGTATTGCATGCAAATTCTGCCCACAGTCAGGAGTTCGATCCTGGCTGGCTCAAGGTTGACTCAGCCTTCCATCCTTCTGAGGTCAATAAAATGAAGACTCAGATTGTTGGGGACAATAGGCTGATTCTGTAAACTGCTCAGACAGTGCTGTCAAACACTATGGAGCGCTATATGTAAGTGCTATTGTTACTGCTGTTTCCCTTCATATAATGATGCCATGTACAAAGGAGGGTTTGAATTATAGGGTCCAAGAATTCTACTACTCTGAAAATATAAAGGGCACTGCAGAGGTCAATGATAGAGATATAGTTTTGTACATGTCAAATAGTTATGCTGAAATAGCTTCCTATATTTTGCATGTATTCAGATAGGCATTACAAATCCTTCCTTTTTTTTTTGCTTTTACCTGCAAGCTCAGAAAATTTGGGCTTTGGGAACAGGAAACAGTATCCTTTGAGAAAGAACTGATTCTTAGGAACAGAAGGCTATATGTAGAGTTTCTGGGATACAGTTAAGAAAATGCAACAAAAATAGTTTCCCCTTAAGTGATAATGTCTGGCTCCAAAAGGCGGGTCAAGCAGAGTTAACTTCCAGCACTATTTCCTAATGAGCAGAAGCTTTTTTAATACAACCATACCTGGAAGCTGTGAAGAGAGCCCACCAATCCCGCTAAAAGGTGTGTTCTGGTTTTGTGTGGAAAGCGGTGGAAATGCTTTTGCTGGTGACTGAGGAGTACTAAAAGCAGAACTCAAGTTTGGAGGAAATCCAGGCACACTCTGGGTATGAGGAACCGTTGGGCCACCTAAACTGAGAGATGCCATCCCAGCAGCAAGCGGATCAATCTGATAAGAATAAAATATTAATGAAAAGAAACCAGTTATTTATATATTTGTATCAAACGGCTTATCATCTTTATTTAGATCATATCTGCCGAATCAGTAACATTTTGCATCAAATATTGATAGGATGGGTCTGTTCCTACTAACGTTTAGAAGAATCATGAAGATCAGATCCGAAAGCCCATCTGGAGTGGCTTTTTATTCCCCACATGCCAACCATCACTTTGAAAAGCTAAAAAAATCAACTGGAATTTTGCCTACAAAACTGGAAATGAGACGATATACAGAATGCCTCTCAAGACTAAAGGAAGTCTTATCCATTGAGACTAGAAAGAGACAGGACATAAATATGCAACAAGCAGAGGTAGTCAGAAAGGTTAAGAGGAGAAATACATACAGCAGAGCTATCTAGAGAGGGATAATGCCATAAGCCAAAATGAATCTGCATTTGAAAGTGTACATATATTAAAGGATAGGTAAAGGACAGCTGGTGGACAGCAAATAGTTTGATGCAGCCTCGGTACTTATCAGCACAATAAATAAGAGTGAAGTCAAACACAGATCCATCAAAGATCCAAGATTCATCAAAGAGATGCTTCTGCAGAATTCTGCTGCTGGCTCTTTTAGATTATAAATTAACATGCAGGACAACTATCTTCCAACTGACCATAATGTTCAGTACTTCAGCATGGCCTTATTGCAGATAGGTTTCTTAAAACATACACCCAGACTATCTTTCATTCATTGTTTTTTCTTTTAATCAATAGAACAAAGCCAAATACAGTATTTAGAAAATCAATAATGACAGGTCACAGAAATCTACCTCTGAGTGCAGTCTTGGAGATGTTCCTTGCTTTTTCAAAGAGCAGTTCAGCTGAGAGCCAAAGAGCCCCATATCACAAGCCTTTACAATCTAGCACTGATGCTTGGCCTGAGAAGCTGTAAAAGGCCAATCAGGTTCAAAGGTCGTGCTTCACCCACAAGGTAACATTCGCCAAGCAAAGGAAACAGGATGAACTCCTTCTGAATGAGGCTGAATTCTGCACACCAACAACCCAATAGGCAAAAGAACTATTACCTGCTTCTCTCACGCTGGCTACGTACCTGCACAGGGGAGATGGCATCCAGGCTGCTAGCACTGGGGGGACGTCCTTTGGGCATTACACCAGGCGGTGGCTGTCTGGCTTTGTTCACTACATTGCTGCAGTTGGCTACCATGGTGAGAATAGTTTCCGACAGCTCTTGTGTTACACTTCTAATGCAGAAACCAAAGTTATTTTTATTTAGAATTACCAGAAATTCAGTTTGTTCTAGCATTGTTCCAAGAACTGCATTTATATTTATAAAAATAAGACCCGGTCTTATTTTCAGGGAAACATGGTACCATCTCCTTCGAAGGTTGCTGATGCCACCCCCTCAGATGAAGAGGCATCCAAAGTGCTATCTATGATTCTACATTTCTGGGAGGTTACAGATTGATTAGAAGAGATTCAGAGGAAAGCAACAAAGCAACAAAGATAACAAGGATATGTCAAATCATGAAAGGCTGAAAAAACCTGGGGTGGTCAGGCGGGAGAAAAGAAGATGATGGGAAGATATGATGAAGCTACATTCATATATATATTTATATAAAGGAAAGCAATAGGGAAGGTAGTCAAGAACTATCTTCTCCAGCTACAGAGACCAGGTCCAAAATGACACATTGCAGCTACATATAATTTGTTTAAATATAGGAAGACTTCCTGACTGTAAAACATTGGAACAATGTGAATGTTGCGGGTATTTCATCTCTATATGTTTTAGAGAAGCATTAGCTGCACCATGCTGTACAAGTCCTCCAAAGGTCATCTGCAAGTTTAGCCAATGCCATCTCAGTACAGTACACTAGTATTGTAACCCAGACTGAAAAGGATCCAATAATCCACCTGATCCAGGATCCTCTGAAGCTGAGCGGTAACAATCCTCTCAACAGCCTTCCTTTATAGGAAGTTTGGAGACTGGATGAAAGTTGTCTAACTTCACAAAATTCTTACTTCAACCAGTGAGCCTGTGGCTCAGCCACAGAATATCTGAAGCTTCCCTCCTCTGCTTTAGTCCCTAAACAGACATCCTTTTAAAGAAGACCGTGATTTGCTTACCCAGCACAAGCCTGAAGACAAGCTAGCATTGTTGCTAGAGTCTCTGGTGGAAGTTGAGCACTTTTGGGCTGGTCTTTCTCTGGAGCAAGACCACCCAAGATAGAGGGACATCTTCTCTTCAAGAAAGTCATACACGCTTGGATGAAAGGCTCCTAGGGAGAAGTACAAAGCTGTATGAGTTGTACATAGTATAAGCACAAAAATAACTTCATATTTATAAAAAATAATAAAGACAGGATATAAATAAATAAAAGTAGATAAGCATTGGGCGAGTTAAAGTTCAACACATTTAAGGCCATAGTTTGCACACACAAACAGTAGGACACTTTAAAATAAGCAACTATTTTCATCAGAAAACAACTTGCAGAATGAATTAAGAAAAACCTTACTTACCCCATGCTCCCGAATTTTATCTGTGAGCCATTTGTCTAGTTTGAGGTATTCCCGCCGAGAAGCAAGGGCAGCAAGGTCAATAACAAAGGCAAATGGAGTACCATTCAGCAGCATAGACAATGCCTGAAGAAAAAGAAAGCTGCTAGTCCATATGGCAAGCTTGACTTCTCTAGTAGTAGCCTTCCTGTAGTGGTCCTGCAAATTCATTTCCACCGCAGAGCATTTGTGGTAGAAGAAAGCAACATGTCTTTCCAGGTGGAAGTTCCTTGGGAACCCTAAGAATTAGCAGGGTGAAGGTAGGGTATGTGGGAGAGAAGTGAATGGCCCCAGGAAGGTGTCAGAAGCAGAAAACTAGTCTTCCTCCTCCTCCTGGAAGATTGGCCTGAAACAATCTTCCTCTTCAGCACCACAATAGTTTGTAAGTACCATCTCACAAACAACTTATTAACAACTAATTAATTAGTGGAACAACTTGCCTCCAGAAGTTGTGAATGCCTCAACACTGGAAGTTTTTAAGAAGAGTCTGCAATGGTACGGGTTTAAAGACCTGGTTTTGTTACTGAACTTGGGCTAAGCTCAAATCGTGGTTGTGGGTTTCTCTCCCCCCCCCCCGATGCAATATTTATTTCCTTTTTTGTTCTTCTTGTTATTCTTATCCTCTTTGGTGTGTGGTCTGTACACATACACAAAAGTTATGATTAACAAATATTATCAAGTCATTAGATAACAAATATTCAACCTATTCAGAGTAAAAATGTGCAGAACACATAAAAATCTATTTAAAAATAAGTAAATAGGTACATACATGTATAGATTTATAGCAATAGCACATAGACTTATATACCACTTCACAGCCTTCTCTAAGCAGTTTACAGAGTCAACATATTGCCCCCAACATATCTAGGCCCTCATTTAACCAACCTTGGAAGGATGGAAGGCCGAGTCAACCTTGAGCCAGTGAGATTTGAACTGCTGGCAGTCAGCAGAGTTAGCCTACAACTACATTCTAACCACTCTGCCACCATGTCAACTAATATTACCTCACTATTATCTGTTAATATTCAGATAAAGTATAAAATCCATTAAAATTTAACAGAACTATGGTTCCTGCTCTGATGTTTCATTATTTTAAACTTGGCTGTGATTTTTCTAACTTAACCACCAAAGAACCTTGAAAGGTTTTACAGCATTTTAAATACTAAAATTAAACAGATAAGTTCCTTATTTTTAAATTTGGCATTCAATCCTGTAAATAAATGCAAAACACCTAACTCTGGAGAGCATTTAGTTATTTAATTAGTAAATGTCCCCAAAGTATTATGCCAAGGGGGTTCAGCATTAATGCACAACCACTACAAGTGAAAGTATGGTCCTCTTTTTTAATATTTGGAAGAATGATCTTGATATATATGTCCCAGTCTAACCAGGGAGATATATAATCTCCCATGGCAGTTCATTTATGAAGCTAATGTGTATCCACCTGATTTCCACAATTCCTGCCACATTTGTTCCCTCTAATTTACCAAAATCAGTATCTCAAATTCTTTTAAATTGAGGGGAGGGGGATATCTTATTTCTAATTGCAATAATAATCTATACATTTTTAGATTGTTCCTTTTGATTGTTCTAAATAGTTGAAAATTAAAATAAAATAAAAATAAAATAATCTCAAAACTGTTGTTGAGGGGAAAATAGTAGAAAGGTATGTTGGATATGTTCACTACCTTGAGTTATTCGTAAAAATAATAAAGATGAGATAGAAACAAATAAGTTTGAACTGCTGATATCAGAAGAACCATTGCAACTTACCACCATTCACTACTCTTATTCAGAGGTTCCCTATTGTGAAAATCTTTTATCTGTAAAAATGGTATTCTCCCAGATATTCTCTTCAGTAGCCAGACCAGTGATTACCCTGCTCTCTCTCTCTCTTTTCTCTCTCTTAAATTATAACTAATTTAACCAAACAAAAAGGCTATTTCCTTGAATGTCTGATCATGCAGTTTCAAATAATAATTCCGAATGTTTTTCTGGTAAAATATGCCTTAGCAACATATATCTACTCTTTACTCAGCAGTTGTTTTTTATCATAAGAATTCAATATATATTTGAAGGGGAAATATCACTAGCCACTATTTCTATGGCACTTTCTCTAAAGTTGACAGTCAAACATCTACTTGAATTAGAACTCTCAATGATGGCCAATTCCTCTCTGAAGACTAAGATATCCCCCTGAAGCAATTTGACAGCCTATATAATCCTGAATTACAAAGACTGAACCTGGCGCTCTTTGGGCCCTGGTGGGCGCTGCACCTCTCATATTAACTATGTGCTTTTGGCCTCTACTGCCTTCCGCCTGGTCTGCAGTTGCCACCACCACGAGGTAAGGAGGTGAAGCAGGTGGCGGAGCGGATGGAGTTGCTTCTCTCCGCCTGCAGGACGCCTGCCAAAGCCGCCCAGATGCCCTCGCCTCCCCAAGCGTTTTTTTTTTTTTTTTTTAACTAACCTGCCTTTCAGTTGCATTGCATTTCTCCGTTCACTTCTCAGCCTTTGCTGAGATCTCACAAATTAGAAAGTCTGATTGAACTTTTCTTCTTTTCTTTTTTTTGGTCCCACAAACATGCGGCAAAGGCGGAAGGCGATTCGGTGGGAGTAGCCGGTAAAGGCCAAAAGCAAGCAGGCAGTGGGACGGAGAGGGTGGGGCCAATGGTAGCCGGTACTACCGGCAGCAGCTGGTGAAGGGCCCTGGCAGGCCCGGGGGGGAGAGGGCTCCGGCGGCTGCATAGAAGATCTGGGCTGACTTGCCTCACCCCGCACTAACATTTACTTTGGGGGGAGGGCATATATTAGGCCCCGCCCACCGAAAATCAGCTGGGGCTTACTTTTTGAGTATGGTTTACTTTCAGGGAAACCCAGTAGACTAGAAACCAGGAGACCATGAGTTCTAATCCACTTTAGGAAGCAGGCAATGGAGAACCACTTCCGAAATCTTCCTCTGGACCAGAACTGCATGTTTGGCACAAACACTAGTAATTTCAAATAGAATCAACAAAAAATTAGACTCACCTTCAGGTCTTGGGCCACATCTAAAATACGTGATAATTTTGCTTGGTCATATTGTTCTCCTCTCATGTACCATTCTGCCATGGCATGCATGATGAGTTGACGAATTGAAGGGGACTGACCCTAAGAAAATACCTAAATGTTAGTCTACTGGCATAATTATTTAGTTGTTGGTTTGATGACAGAGACCAGATCCCTTGCTCCTTTATAATACTGTGGCACTGGTCTTAAATATGTTTCAACTGGACTTATGCCCAGGGCCACAGTAATATCAAGGCACAAGCCTGAGATCACTAACTCCAAGTCACTTATACCACTACGTTGCCTTCCTCTATTCATCCCCCAATCTCAAAGCAGGAAGGGAACTGTCTATGGGGGTT